TGACATAGGAAAATGCTTATATGTTAAACTGGGAAAAGTGTATACTTTCAAAGAAATAATCAGAGATGTATGAATGTTATTTATAACAGCAAAAAAGTGCAAACCACTTAAATGCTCCAAAATAGGAGATTGGATAGATACATGCAAAAAAATGAAACTAGACCAACTTATACCATACACAAGAGTAAACTCAAAATGGATTAAAGACTTAAATATAAGTCACAAAACCGTAAAAGTCCTAGAAGTAAACATAGGCAGTTTTTCAGACATTTCTCACAGCAATATTTTTGCCAATATATCTCCTCCAACAAGGGAAACAAAGGAAAAAATAAACAAATGGGACTACATCAAACTAAAAAGCTTTTGCACAGCAAAAGAAACCATCAACAAAATGAAAAGGAAACTCACTGAATGGGAGAACATATTTGCCAATGATACATCTGATAAGGGGTTAATTTCCAAAACATATGAAGAACGTATACAACTTAACACCAAGACGACAAATAACCCAATTAAAAAATGGGCAAAGACCTGAATAGACACTTCTCCAAAGAGGGCATACAGATGGCCAATAGACATGAAAAAATACTCAGCGTCACTAATCATCAGAGAGATGCAAATTATAATCGCAATGAGATACCACCTCAAGCCTGTCAGAATGGCTATCACCATAAATCAACAAGTGCTGGCGAGGATGTGGAGAAAAGGGAACCCTAGTGCACTGTTGGTGGGAATGCAGACTGGTTTAGCCATTGTAGAAAACAGTATGGACTTTCCTCAAAAATTAAAAATGGAACTGCCTTTTGACCCAGCGATCCCACTTCTGGAAATATATCCAAAGAGACCCGAAACACTAACTGGAGAATATATGCTCATTGTAGTGTTATTTCCAATAGCCATGATCTGGAAACAGCCCAAGGGTGCATCAGTAGATGAGTGGATAAAAAAGCTGTGGGTCATTTACACGATGGAATACTACTCAGCCATATAAAAGGAAATTTCACCTTTTGCAACAGCATGGATAGACCTGGAGATTATTATGCTAAGTGACATAAGCTAGTCAGGGAAAGACAAGTACCATATGATCTCACTTATGTGTGAAATCTAATGAACAAAATAAACTGATGAACAAAACAGAAACAGAGTCATGGATACATGGAAGAGACTGACAGTTGTCAGAGGGGAAAGGGGTTGGGGGGACAGGATTAAACAAAAAACATATATATACNAAAAAAAAAAAAAAAAAAGGTGGTGGGTTCCATCCCCGGTCTGGGCACGTGCAGAAAGAAACCAACAGACCACTAAATATAAACCAAAAAAAAAGAACTAGGGTCACGTACCTGTTGATACATTTCTAGTTTCTTGGGCTACCTGTACTTGAATGTGCTTGCTTATCTCTGACTTATTTGGTGCATCTGCAACCTTCACAAATCCTTCAGTGTCTTCCTTCAAGGGTGTATCAGTAGGAAGTGCTGCCACATCTGAAGCAGCCGTTGATGCTGGAGTGGTAGCTTTAGATCCTCCTTGGCTAACATCAGAAAGTTCATCCTACAAATAAGAATAATTACAGAAGAATTTTTAAATAAGTAATTTATTTTAAACCATTTTTAAAATGGGTTAAGAAATAAACATGCCAAGAGAAAATTCTATTAAAAAACAGTAATAAAGATTCGCTGATTACCAAAGGAAACCAATAAATAATCTCCACAGGCTATTCAAATAATTAGGAAATATTTAAGTAAATCATATTTTTTCAGACATACTTGAGATTCTTCTAAATAGAGAATTTGAAGAGTAGATTGGCAGTATTAGCAATAACATTACATCTTAACATCAACACAGAGTTTTTAATGGCAGTGTAATAATGTACAATCATTTAATAATAAAGACCTGCTTCAAAACACTTAAAGAGTATGTACTGTGTAGTAGCTACTCTAAAATAGCGTGGGATATCAAGATTCTCCAGTTTCAGGTAAGAGTTTTGTAAACAGTGTTCTTAAAACACTTTGCATTATACAGTATATCATTTGAAGTGCTTATTAAAGGGAAGAGTCTAAGTCCAACTTCAGACTTTATGCAGTGAGATCAGGTAATCTGCTCTTTAACAAGCAACCCAGGTGACTTATATATGCACTACAATTTGGTAAGTACTACTCTAGAGTCCACAAACAGCTTTCAAAACCTACATGCCCAGATTAAGGTTTTATGCAAAAATCTGTGGACCATTCATTTTTCTGGGAAAAGAATATACAACTTTTATCAGATTTTCAAACGGGTTTGTGACTCCAAAATAATTTACAACAGTTGTCCAATGACTAACAATAATAAGGCTGTTCTTTTAAAGCAAAGTAGCCAGAGCCCTGGCCGAGGGACTCGGTTGGAGCTTCATCCCATACACCTAAAGGTTATGGGTTCAATTCCCAGTCAGGGCACATACTAGGCTGCAGGTTCCATCCCCAGTTGGGGTGAGNTGCACAGCAAAAGAAACCATCAACAAAATGAAAAGGAAACTCACTGAATGGGAGAACATATTTGCCAATGATACATCTGATAAGGGGTTAATTTCCAAAACATATGAAGAACGTATACAACTTAACACCAAGACGACAAATAACCCAATTAAAAAATGGGCAAAGACCTGAATAGACACTTCTCCAAAGAGGGCATACAGATGGCCAATAGACATGAAAAAATACTCAGCGTCACTAATCATCAGAGAGATGCAAATTATAATCGCAATGAGATACCACCTCAAGCCTGTCAGAATGGCTATCACCATAAATCAACAAGTGCTGGCGAGGATGTGGAGAAAAGGGAACCCTAGTGCACTGTTGGTGGGAATGCAGACTGGTTTAGCCATTGTAGAAAACAGTATGGACTTTCCTCAAAAATTAAAAATGGAACTGCCTTTTGACCCAGCGATCCCACTTCTGGAAATATATCCAAAGAGACCCGAAACACTAACTGGAGAATATATGCTCATTGTAGTGTTATTTCCAATAGCCATGATCTGGAAACAGCCCAAGGGTGCATCAGTAGATGAGTGGATAAAAAAGCTGTGGGTCATTTACACGATGGAATACTACTCAGCCATATAAAAGGAAATTTCACCTTTTGCAACAGCATGGATAGACCTGGAGATTATTATGCTAAGTGACATAAGCTAGTCAGGGAAAGACAAGTACCATATGATCTCACTTATGTGTGAAATCTAATGAACAAAATAAACTGATGAACAAAACAGAAACAGAGTCATGGATACATGGAAGAGACTGACAGTTGTCAGAGGGGAAAGGGGTTGGGGGGACAGGATTAAACAAAAAACATATATATACATAACACACAGACACAGACGACAGTGTGGGGATACCAGAGGGAAAGGGGGTTAGATAGAAGCGGGCAAGGGGATAATGGGGACAGGAAGAGACTTTGCCTGGGGCAATGGACGCACGAGGCAGTGTTCAGATGATATTTTCTTGAATTTTACACTTGAAACCTGTATGGTTTTGTGAACCAATGTCACTCCAATATATTTAGTTTAAAAAAGAAGGAAAAAAATCCTGTCACATGCTATAACATGGATGAGAGGACATTATGCTAAGTGGAATATGCCAGACACAAAATGACAAATACTACATGATTCCATTTATATGAAGCATCCAAAGTAGTCAAATTCATAGAAAGTAGAGTGGTGGTTACCAGGGCTGGGGGGAGGGGAAAAGGGGGGACTTGTTTAATGGGTATAGAGTTTCAGATATGAAGACAAAAAAGTTTAAGCAATATCAAGATTCAGAAGTTACCACGTGATTCATGTCTTGCCTTATATTTTATCAATAAGCAGCTCATCACTTAACCCTTTTTTCTATTCACACAACTCTATGTCTAAGTCTGTCTGACTTATCTGAAATAAGCTAAATAAAGGGGCAAGCAACTCTTCTACATAGGTTTATCTGTGTTTTAGGTGCAAGCATTTTAGGCCTAAAGAAAGATAAAACAAAATTACAAAAGCTAACTTAGTCCCATGGATCCCACTATAACGCTTATTACCTTATACTTTAAATTTTTTGTTGGCATGTCTTTCTCCCCAAGTAAAAGTTAAATGTCTAAAGCAATGGCTCTAAACCTTTTTATTTACAACTCTATAGCAAACAGAATCACAAAATTGTGTACACACATTATTAATTTGATTCCTAGCAGGAGTCTGTGACCCCAAAAAACACTGAGAACCATAACTCTAGACACAGCAAGGCGAAATAAATCTAGATGTAAATTATGTTGTAGGTTCAAGAAAATTTATATTGTTAAGGGAAATATGAATGTCCTGACCCTGAGGATATTTCTGAAGAGGGTACTTTTTCACTGTCAGAGACCTGCCTACTGAAGGTCTTCCGTGGACCTGGGTTAACCGTGGCCTAGTGGATAGGGGATGTCTTTCTGTCTTCATATCCCAAGTGCCCAGCATATCAAGCCTGAGATGAAGTAGGCTCTCAACAAATGTTTCTTTTCTGAAGCTGAATGGGGCCCTGATTGGGGCTGAAGAAATTTGTTCAGCTAGGAGGCAGCCCATGGTGAAACTGACACACTGGGCTGTCTCTAGGATACAGGTAAGTTATGCACATTCTGTCCTGAGGAAGATATTTGTGCAAAGCATACTAGTTTTCTTACCTAGAGCTGCATAAATGTAAATAAGCTGCATTTCTACATGATTTACTATATTTTCTCTCTCTTATTTATTTCAAAATGCTGACTTCAGAGGAGAAGTAAATTATAGATTACAGTAAAGCCCTGGCAACCATTGTAGAGGAAATAACTTTCTTTTGCGTTTCAGTGAATAACATCAGTAATCTTCCAAACTGAGCACTTGATGTCCTGAGAACACCAGCTGAGGAGTAACCAGTGGTCAATCGCTTTCGTTTACTGTTTGCAAAATGTTTTAAAACACCATTCTCACCTTCAGGTTCAGGACTACTGCTGACCTGGTAAGAGGGAAAGATTATAGGAGAAAAATATCATACATTTACTAAATGTTCTTAGCATATTTCTAAGTATTTTTGGCTTACACTACCTTAAGATAACAAAATCCATCTTTCTATTATCTACTATGTTAAAATGGGGGGTTGGGAGTTTCATTTTATTTCGACTTAAAATCACACCTCCTTTGAGCCTCTAGTTTAAGCACTATCATGGTTTGGAAGTCACCACATGAATCATGTCTTACTTTATATTTTATCAATAAGCAGCTCATCATTTAACCCTTTTTTCTATTCACACAACTCTATGAAATCTTCCTAAACTTTATTTTAATCATCTTGAATATTTAACATACTGCAGGGCTGGTACGGCTCAGTAGCTGAGCATCGACCTAGGATCCAGGAGATCAAGGTTCGATTCCCAGTCAGGGCACATGTGCAGGTTTTGGGCTCAATCCCAGCAGGGGGCGTGCAGGAGGCAGCCGATCAATGACTCTCTCATCATTCATGTTTCAACTCTCTCCCTCTCCCTTCCTCTCTCTGAAATCAATGAAAATGTAAAAAAACAACAAACAAACAAACAAAAAATATATATAAAATACTAAATATTCCAGTTTAGCATACATGGGAATGTTTACTGCATCTACCTTTCTCTCCCACATTGTTTCCAAAACTTTTAGATAAACACGAATAATCAAAGGGTGACCAATATTCCAAAACAAAAGTTTTTAAAACCTGGGGGCTTTAACTGTTTGAGAATTTAAAATTACACACACATTTTATATAAGAGGAATCTTTAATAACAAAAGATACAGGACTAAGGTTCAACTGCTACAGAGATTCAAGTTTGGGAAAACTAAAGAAATGGAACAAGTTCAGAACTTAACCACAAGTGGAGCAGGGAAAATTCCTCCGAACGAGAACGCTGGCTCTGCTCAGACAGCCCTGCTCTGCATGCTAAGCGCATGCCCTGAAGAGTGCAGAGACACTGACCACTGGCTTTACATACCAAGCCCTGCTAACCAGAGCTTCTCACAATAGTTCCACTACAGCATTTCAAGTCACATGGTTTTAAAAGAATTCTCTAAGATTTTCACAAGTAGGTAGTAATACAAGTGGTTTTTCATTAGAGTTGTTTTTTTTCAGTTCTAAAAGTCAGATTATACTAACAATTAACCCAGGAGACTCTTCAAAGGAAAAAATATATACCTTTTTTGCAGTACATGCATACACTTACACACGTGTCTTTGGGCATGTGTATAGGTACATATACACACTTATGTGTTTATGTGAAACTGGATGAAACCTGTGAAATCATTGTCAAATTGACACCAAGCAAGGTCTAGAAAAAGCAGGAACATTTAAATATCTAAGACATTTAAAATGATATTTAAAACACTTCATTCTCTCTCTTTCCATATTTGGGCATAAGAGAGGGATACATGAACTCTAAACTTATAAAGCAATAAAGAATTCATACGGCATTGCCAGTGAAAGTACAAATGGCTACGATCCCTCTGGCAGGCGATTTGGCAATATCTACCAAGACCTTAAATACACGCTTTTACCCAGCAAGCCTACCTATGGGAACTGTTAACTACAAAATTATGTATGCAATTATCTACTGCAGCATTGTAATAGCAAAAGACTAGGAAAAATTGAGGTGTCCCTTCAAGAGAGTAGATTTTAATTGCAGTTGGGATATGTGATCCCCTTCTCCTGCCCTTCCTCTACTATTCTGATATATCACCTTCCTTCACACACCCTTGTTTTAAATTTCTCTGTTGGGCTCTTCTTCAAGAGCCTTCTTCAAGCCTACAAACAGCCCCATCTCTCCCATTCTAAAAGTACTTTTCCCTCCACCCTGCCAACTCGCAATCTGTTTCCTCTCATCCCACTACAACACCGCTCTTGAGTCACCTACACTTTCTAGTCCTTCTTTCATAATTCACACGCACTCTTGTCGTTGGCCCCGCAACTCAAACTGCTCAAACCTACACCTGCAAATTCAGTCCTTGTCCTACTTGACTTCTCCATACACCTTACTCTCTAAAGCTCCACTGTCCCTGGACTTCCAGGCGTGCGGTCTCTTGTGGCCTCTCCTGCTGCCACTACAAACCCTCGGCCCTTACCAACGCGCTTCTCTCTCTGTGTACAGCCTACACCTCTGTTCTAGACAGGCCCTATCCACACCCCTGGACGATGCTGCATGAGGAAGCATTAGGCTTCCCCAGCTGCTCAGACTGACACCCTATGCCTAGTGCCTTCCCTTGGGGAGACCCTCATCACTCTGTTCTGGCTCTGACACCCCTCCAAGCCAGGCTGTACCTCTGCAGAGATATCCTCCACACCACCAGGGTCCTGACTGTCTAAAGCAGGCTATCCCCACATGGGTACCCTTCTAACCTTATACCTATACCCACCCCACCCTGTGGAAACTTACCTTGCTTTGCCCTACCTAGTAGCTTTAGGACTGAAATGTGCAGAAAGAAAATAGAAAGGGCTAGCTAATGCAACACTGCACCATCTTAATAATTACAGCCTTATAGTACCGTCATGATATCTAGGAGGGCAAGTTCTTTTTACTGCTCTTCAAGACTGTCGTGGGTTATTCTTGGCCTTTTGTTCTCCAATTCCTTCTTTATTTTCAGCTTGTTCATGAATAAGAGTTGTTCAGAGAGAACAACCCTACCTTAACATTTCTGCCTATCCCCAGCCTTACCTTTTTAATACATTTTTAACAGTACAGTTTTGATCATTTAACATAAGCAGCTATTTTCACCAATTTCACTAGGACCCCAGCAAAAATATTTCTGTGAATGATGCAATATAAAACTCCTCTGCTTTTTGCCTTGAACTGACCTCTAAACTACACTTGAGAACCATCTACAGGGTATCAGGCAAAGCTTTGTGTAAGTTGCAGCATTTATAATGGTCTTGAAAGAGGGTATTTCTATACTGGTGGTACCTAAGCAGGATACAAATATGTATGTAGTTAAACTATAAAAAAAGCAATTGGATGTTAAGATCTGGAGTTCAGGGAAAGGGTGAAGGTTGGAGATTCAAATTTGTGAACATCGATGTGTGGGTGGCATCTACAGACATGACACTTGAGCGACCCAGGTTAAGTAGAGAGGAAGGCTGAGCTTTAGGCCCTGGGAACACCAACATTTAGAGGCCCAAAGCCAGCAATGGAGAAGGAGCAGCGAGCACACGAGTGAGTAGAGTGGGGTCTTGGGAGGAAAGAAAAGCATTTCAAGAAGCAGAGAGAGTTCAAATGTTGCAACAATGTAGGGTGAAGAATGATAATTTTCCACTAGGTTTGTAAAGGTGGATGTACAGGGAACCGTGAGGAAAGGGATGTTGGTGCAATAGGAAGGAATGAAAGGATGTTGGTGCAATAGGAAGGAATGAAAGTCTCAGGAGTGGGATGAAGATAAATCAATTATTCCTCAAAAGTGCCCAAGTTTGCCCCCACCTCAGAGCCGTCTCAGATGCTCTTTGATCATCCTGAAACACTCATTCCTCCAGACCTTTCCATGCATGTGCGCATCCCTCATGTCAAGGTACCAGTCATCTCCTCCGAGACGCCTTCCTTCACCATCCTAAAATAAGCATCCCTCCCTACTAATTACTCTGTCTCCTTATATCTTGCTCTCTTTTAACAGTACCTAACCATACTTGAAATTCTATTATTTCACTTATTTACTTGTTTGTTGATTTCCCCTACAAGAATATAAGGGAAGGAGTAGTACAGAGAAATACATCTTTTTAAAAACAATGTGGACATTTTCCTAGGTGCATCATTCCTGGCAGACTTTCCAATACCTGAAGGTATAACCTTATACTACAAACCTGTTACAGTGAGAAATCTGTGATAATCGCAACAAAGACCTGTCCACAACTCTACGAGCACTGGCAAGTCCCCGACTGCTATTCTTCTGCCACAGAGTTTCCCACAGTTCTGTTTCCTTGGTTATAACCCATCATGTGGTTTTCTCACAGAACATTTCACCTTAACCTTAATTCACAGAAAAAACTGTGCTGGTAAAATTAATATTAATTATAATCTCACCTTCACTTTTTTCATAATGAAGGCAAAGCATGCCCTAAATCTGGCTAGTCATCCCCCAGGCTCTCAGAGAAATGAAAGGTATAGAACACTTTCAATTAGAGATAGTTAGTCCAGTTCTTGTCATGAATAGAAACCAAGACTGGTGGGCACATGTGACGTAGTCCACAAGTGAACTATAAACTGACTTCCAGCCTCTCACCAAGTTAGAGAAGGACATCTGGTTAACAAAAAGGGCATGGGTAAATAATATAATATATCCTAATAGACAACATTTTACAAACTAGACTTTTGTCATTCTGTAATGCACCACTCTCTTCCAGGAAATCCCTCTGTTGAGCCTTTATCTCATTTAATGGCTCCAGATTCAGAGCAAAGTGAGACAGGGTTTTATTTTAAAAACTCTCTGGGGAGTACTTGCCTTAGTATATCTGAGAGGAAACAGGAAACACCTATGCTTAAGTCCATATTAATAGTCTGTTAATCAGTTTTAACCTGCCAGTAAAGTTCTGTCACAGCCTATCACTGGATTAAATAACAGGAGAATTATAATAATCCTCTCTTAAGGTGCCTATTGGATAGTAATTAGAATATTGTTACCATATGGTATACATTTTTGATGTACTAAAAGTATCCCTCCTACTTAATTTTGTTTTGGCACTGCAAGTAGGCGATGGAGGGATGGGTGTTTTGGAAGATCTATTAATCATACAGGCAGGCTAAAAAAGCCAGTGTGGCCATAGGAGTAAGAATGAGAGTTTCCTGCTGGCATCACTGTGGTCTGATACTGAGCAGCTGCATGGTTAACTTCTAATAAACTGAGCAACAAGGAAAAGAGAAGGGGGAAAGGTGAGGTCAGTCTTAGTGTTAAAAATAGTTGTTGGAGGAAGAAAAGCTATCAAATATTGGTTGACTGTTTAAGTGTTTTGGTCACATTTCAAAGGTCAATGGAATGATTCTAAATGCCTCTACCTTCTAGAGCTGAGAACAGACCATTTGTAGTATCCTAAAGAGTCTTTCTAACATCTAAAACAATTCAGCCAACAAACATGTTCTGAACGGCCACTATGGACCAGGAATACAGCAGTAAATAGACTGCGTGGATTTTATGTTCTTTGTGGAGAGAAACAAAGTCAAAAAGTAAATGACTGAGTATATTAGAAGTATCCTGAGAACCATCTTCAAGTACTTAGACTATGGTAAGTACTCTGGAGAAAACAGAGCAGGAAAAAGAGATAAGATGTAAATAACTCATTTGTACTCATTGTGGGTGGCCTCTCTGCTTTATGACAAAGTAGATTTTATAAAGAACAAGGTTCTTTTATAACTAACATTCATTCCCTTTATAAGTATGTAAGTATTGCATGTTATAAGATATAGAATACAACTTTAATATTTTTAAAAAACCAATTATTAGTGTATCTCCACTCCTAGGTACATTATCTACACATTATACTATAGAATATATATTATATACATATCACATTTATAACTTATTGATGACAAGTTTTGGCCAAGAATACAATCTCTGATAAATTAACACCAGGCCTTTTAAGTGAAACACAATATACTTTTGGATATTGCTTTATGAAGGGTTTTGAGGAAGGAACCGGTTTTTTAAAAGTGCAGCCCTACTGAATTGTGAACCAAGGGTTTCAGGTGGCAATCTTTTTCAATCCTAAAAAACATAATTAAGTTCATTAGTCACCCCACCCTAAATTCATATGATGTAGCCTAAGTCAAAAAGAACTTTTGGTCATTAGTACCATTAACAACTTACAAAGAACAGTAAAAACTAAAACTCTTTGGAAAGAACTCATTTCCCAAAAAAAGACAGTTTTACAACTAAAATGTATAAACGATTTCATTTTATTATGTTTTGGTCGTCTAGTACTTGGATTTGGGTAAGAAAACTCATAAAATGCAAATTGAAGATTTCAGCAGAACAAAGCTTACCTTCAGGCTGGTATGAGAACGTGGCTGACTTAATTCCTGAAATTTCCATTGCTCTGACCCAGGGGTCTCTCCGCCTTTCTGAGTGTCAGGTGTGAGCAATCCATCTCCCGCAGGTAATGGGAAAAGCCCTAGTGATATAGGGCGTTCTTTTCTATATGGAGAGGAGAGAAAAAGTTAAGCATTCATTCATTTTTTAATTCTTTATTCATCATGACTATAAGTAATACACCTGGGCTGTTACTACTTTAGAATCATTACTCCTAAATAATACTGTCTGCCTATCTGAACAAGTACACTTACCAAAGAGAAAGTATAAGGTCTCAGAAGTTTAAATTAGCCTGAAGAAATCAACTAAGAAAAGCAGTAAGAAATGGTTTAAGAAATTTTATAAATTACTGATGAGTTCCTTGCCAGAAAACAGTCTGTGGTCTGCTTTCACAGAGTAACTTTCACTGAAGCTTAGGTTAGCCGTAGGGGAACTTGCAACCTCCTCCTTAGGAAACGACCACAACCTCTGCTTCTAGACTTCCCAAATCCTCACACTAATCCCTAGATGTTTACCCAACCTCCTTCAGAGTATGCCTTTTCAGCCTAAAGGAAAATCAACATATGATCTAAATCAGGGCTACTGACTAGATCGTGAAAAGAGTTCAAAATGACTTTTATCACCTAAGGCAAGAAAGCTGTATTCTTCTACAGAACCCATGTATGAGTTCCTTTCAATCACAGTACATATGAAAAAACCATTGTCAGTTTTTCCAAACAAGGAGGCCAAAAAATTCTATGAAAGACTGTAGAGTTTCCATTGCTTTGTGGGAAATTTCAATGAACAAGAGTTACAATTTCAATAATAATAGAATCGCAACAAGAAACGTGTTCTTTGCTGATGCTTGGAAGATTCCAAATCCAAGGGATTTTAGAGGGTAGAAACAAGCCTACCACATAGTTATCCTAGGTCATTAACTGAAAGTGTGGACACTGGCAATAAATGAGACAGTAAAGGTTTGGGGCCTCCTGGTAAGAATATAAGTTAGAATAGAAACAGTGAGGTTATAAATAAAAGTGGCAAAATATTCTGTTTTGCTAAATAAGTATTTTATTCTGTAAACTCATTTTTATATCAAGAAACTTAAACCACTTTTGAAATGTGCCCCTACTTAACACAAAGAGTTTGCTAATGACGATCAGAAAGGATTTATAAAACTGTGAGAAAACTTTCTTAAAGATTAGATGAAGCAACAAGTCAAGAGACTGCATTTTACTAAGGTTTTATGCACAAGAAAATAAAACAGGATTTTATCAGTTAGAGTTAATTACTCATCACTTTTTCACACGTGGAGTACTTTTCCTATTTGATTTGGGAGGAAAATGCGAATGCAGGTGGGCAGCACAAAATACTAGAATTTAATACCAAACCCAAGTTTCTGACGAAGAGCCACCAAACAACCAAATGACAAAAACTAAAGGAACCTGTTAACTATTCTGTTTATACCACTTATTCCCAAATGCTGGTTCGGCAATAAAGTTTTCATAATTAAATGGCAAAAAGAGGCATTAATGTCCAGACTTGACAAAACAAAAGGTTGTTGACCTGATGTTTATCCCTCAATTTGGGGGGAACAAATTTTGGGAACTGAAAATCTAAAGCTCTAGGAGCTACCGGATGACAACTTTTTGAAAAAAAAACATATCTTAATGACGTAAGCAAAAAAAGGGACTGGGAATTTAATAGATGAAATTTAATGGAAAGCTCTCTAATCCAAAACGCAGACAACCAGAAAGATACTAGACTTTGTGAATCCATCAAACTGCTAACAGAAATCAAAATACAGGCCAGTCAGCAGAATTATCTTCCTATATGAATGACAACACATTCATTTTCACATATTGAAAAAGTGTAAAACTACTGGGGAAAGAAGTCTGCTGTGGATCCAAGTTTTACTTTCCTATTCCTGTTAATTACAAGGAATATTCACACCTCTTTATCTTGCTTTCATTAATCATTGGGATACTGCTCTATGGGGAAGGAACTTTCTTCAGAGACTGGTACTAGCTGTCAAGCCGGTCAATGACACTCTGGGTTACATTATTCCAACTCATGAAAAACAGTCAGACTACATACATCTCTCCTCTCCTTGGTTCACTGATAAATTACGTAAGAGTTAGCGGGAGGGAGAAGGACATGTAATTATGCAAGCCAGTTAGAACCCTACTTTTGAAAAGAACCCCCAAAAGGTGAACATTAGGTCTGTACTATGTTGGAGGGCGTGTTTAGTACTCTGTATTAAATGCTTCAGTAAAATTCACAGAAGAAACCAAAGAACAGGACACATGTGGCAGATTTAAACCTTAGATGTCTCAATGCTATTACTGTCTAGAAACAAAGTTATCATCACCTATCAGAATCCTTGTTATACTCTTTTTAAACTGCCTTAGTTCCAGATATCCATTTTTTAGTTGTTTATTGAAATGTTACCTTACATGCATAATTTCACAAATATGCTTCAGCTATATTAACACTTAAATAATCATTAATAAAATCTACTATATATATAAAGGGCAGTAAAAAAAAGATGACATTTGCTCAAATACCATGTGGCAAGCACTAAAATGGATGATTTATTTTCATTATCTCATTAATTCTCATATGGAAATAAGGACTATTTTCCTAGTTTTCAGATTAGGAAAAATTCTCAAGAGTTGGCAGAGATAGGATTCAAAGTCAGACCTGTTTGACTCCAAGGCCCAAGAATATACTTTCCTTGGAACTACCTTCTTGACAATTTAATCTTAATATTGAGGACTTTGATATCTTTATTCAGAATAACAGCAACTTTGGTGTCAAGGAACTTTTTTAAATTTAATCATAAGTTATTTGATCAATAAGATAGCTGGAGCTAAAATAGTTCTGCTAATAAAGGGGTACATATAAGTAACTATAAAAATTATTACTTGTTTAATGTATTACATATCTTGTAACTGATCAAGTAAAAAATAATCATCTCACTTGATTTTTTTAAACCACCTAATAATGGGGTAAGAACCTCTGAGGAAGAAACTCAGACACAGAGAAATTAAGCAATTTGCCAAAAGTCCTATAGCTAACACGTGGCAGAGCATGTGTATCCAGGCAGTCCAGCTGCAAAGCCTCTTACCTACCACACAGCACAGCACTGACTTCTCAAAAAGAATGGAAACCTAAGACAGCCCTTTAAAATTAGTCTCATTTTAATACTGAGTTAAGGTATATTTAATTTCCTAAAAGCCTATATATACATATACACATACAAATCCTTTATGTACTAAAATATACACAAGTAATAAGATTCCTCCTGATATTTATAGAACCAAGAAAATAAATGACCAAGTTATCTAGTTCTGGAACATACAATTCAATATCTAGGCCTTAAACTAATGTTGAACAGGAATTGACCTGTGAATTCAAAAGGACACACATGAAGGAATTTACTACTTTAATTCCTCTTAATTTATCTAAATCCACAATTAGGAGTTAAGTATTTTAAGTAAACATTTAAATAACAAAAGCTATACACTATGAACCTTCATCTAAAACCATGCACAAAGCAGAAAGCTGAACAAATCAGACAGTTTTAGTTTGGTGAGATAGAAACAAAAGAAACCAAAACCTTGCATCTCTAAAATGTAGAAGATGGTTCTCACAGGGTACAAGCAGAGTGAACAGCATAAAAGCTAGAGATTAATGACTACCCCCACAAGCAGGCATGAATATTTGTCACCCAAGTCTACAAAGAAAGGGCAACATCTGACTAAACAATAGTGAATAGGCTTTGTAAAGCGTTCACAACTTTGATGTGTAAATAATGGAGGAAAATGCATTTCTTGCCCTAAAAGGTTTACACCCTTTCACCTTAAAATATAATTTGTTGTAAGAGGAAAATTAAATTCTCAGTTCCCATGAGCTGCTATCAAAAACTGCAAAAATAATGACTGAACCTCTGTCAGTCAAAGGATAATTGGAACAAAATAAACACCTATGGCCTGTGTCTAATTGACTGCAAGTCCCAGCATAAAAGATATTTGCTGCTAGATGCTCAGATGCTGAACCAGAGATTGCATGAACTTGGACCTGGCACTCTACTTCTGCTCTCCCCTCACTCTTTCAACACTCTGCTTAAAACAAGACCACACTGACCTTGTACTTGTAGGTAAGTACACAATATGAAAACCCTTTTCCTAAGTCCAAGGTTTCCATACACAAAGCAGCATTCCTAAGTGATGGCCTACAAATGAATGCAAATAAAAATAGAAATCTGAGCTTCAGGCCATTTCCCATTGTTTCAATCTGCAACAGAAATGATTACAAAGCAGACCCGTGAAGCTAAAAATCTGAGGAAAAAACCAACAGGGGTTGCTAAGAGAGACTGGAGTACCTGAGTATCCTTGGCAGGTTCTGCGTCAGAGCTGGCACACCGGTAGAAATAGAAAAGTGCACAAGCAGCAAAACAGAGAGAGATACTAAGATAGCAGAATTAATGACCACCGCCCCGCCAACAAAGCCAAACACAAACAGCAGCATGCATCCAGGACTCATGGCGCTGTGCTGGCATGGTGAAACGCCCGAACCAGGAGGCCTACACGGGGGCCAAAGGGGTATCTTTGTAGTGAGGATCTGTCATTCGGCTGCTGCCACGAAAACAATGCCATCAGCAGCAGCTTTCCACTCCATCCTGCAGCAGCTCCGAAGCGATGACGTCACCCGTTCTCCCCACCTCAAATCCGTGGAACGGCTGCCCCCAGCATTTATGCAGCTAACCCGAGCGACCAGCAGCCTATTGACTACGCTCCTCTCCACTAGGAGCCCAGGCTTAGCTCATTGGCTACCCCGCTTGGAGATCTACATAATTTATTCACACTCCTACATCAAAGAGGAGTCGCTAACCCTTTCAAAGGTGCCTCTCAGTACCAAAAAGGACTGGAAACCAGGAGAATTGGAAAGTGTTCAGCGTTCCCACAAATCAGAAAAATTTAAATCTACTGTAATCCCCAGTATTAGGAAAAAATAAAAAATTTCAACATGCTGCTTACATGGCATGGCTCACAATCTACCTTTGAAATAGTGAAAGCTGTTTGTTTTTCTAAGCTATTCTTCCTATAGCATTCCAACCACAGCAGAGAGCTTTTGAATCAGTCTAACTATTGTTCCAGGATTAAGGAACAGAGAGACACAGAAATAGACAAATTATTTATTTCGATTTTTTCTCAAGGCAAAACGTATGACACAGCTTACCTAATTCTACTATGGACTGTAGATTCGAGCTGCTCACTCCCTGAGAGCTGATGAAGTTTTGTTCTTTCTAAGTGTTCCATATAATTATGGATCATCTGTTTTGAAGGAAAAAAAATACACAAAAATTTAAATACCTGGAATAAAACAAAAAGAACTCTTTTGTATAAATTTCTTATTTTTCAGATTACCCATAGTTCCATATAAAAGAATACATATTAGTATGAAAAATATTTGGGGGGGGCGGGTGGAAAAGGGCAAAGGG